AAAAAAAAAAAATTAGCTCACTTGCCGAAAAGCCCGACAAAAACCCAAAAAGGGTTCTTCGATTATGGGAATTGAAACAGAGATTGCAGATCTCAAAACAGGGGATTGAACAGACACAGACAATTTCAGCTGAGGCGGCGAGACCACCTAGGCGCTTGATTTGTTTAACGTTTGATCTTATACAGAGCAGACAGCAAATACGATTTTGCCTCAAACTTGCTCAAAATTCTGGTATGAAGTCATTAAAATATTTATTACGATTTTGCCATAAACTTGCCGCAGACAAGAAGACGATTGTATGGGTGCTTGGATATACTTTTATTACTTACTGTTTTAATATAAATTGATTGATGATTGATGTATTATTATTGTTGATTTAGTTATGATAAAAATATATTAAATTTAATTTATTGTGATTTTTTATTATTTAAAACTCAATAACGTTTTGATTGAAAATGGAGAAAAATAAAGTAAATTATATGGACAATACATTCGAAATTAGTGAATTAGATTAGATAATAATTCATGAAAAATATTCATTTTGCATACTTTGAATTTATCCTTTTTTTTTCAGAAAATGTGGCGTACTAAGGTTGACCAAAATCATAGTGGTCCATATTAGTTAATTTTATGTAGTAGTATAGTTGCCTGTGCAAATGCATGGGAGCTACGAAAAATAAATCACTAAAAGGGTATTTGCAATTCATACAAATGCATTACGATCAAATATTATTGAACACTCTCTTTTATACAACGTTATTCGTTTTTGAGTTGTTTTTATCATCACAAAATAATATTTTTAATTCTTTCCCATTTGTAACGTTCTTCATCTTTAAGTTGTTTTTATCATTACAAAATAATTTTTTCAATCATTTCCCGTTTGTAACTCGTGAAATAGCAACGCAAAGTTTTGAGTTGTTTTTATCATCACAAATTAATCTTTTCAATACTTTCTCATTTGTAACTCGTGAAACTGCGACGTAAAGTTGGTCATGCGTAAATGTAAAGTTCTTTAGGTATAACATTTCTATAAATTAATTCTCAATAATTGAAATGTATATTTTATTTTTTATATGCATAAGATATAATTATCAATCATACGTAAATACACAATTCTTCAGGTATAACATTCATTTAAATTAATTCTCTATACCTAAAATATATATTTTATTCTTGATATGCATAAGATATAATTACTATCAATGAGTCCTTAAACGAGGAGCCTTTAGGCAAATCGATACAACTTTTGAAGTTATACATAAACGGAAATTTTTTATTTTTTCACCATAAAATTTATCTTGAATATTTTTTTTTTTTTTTTTTTTTTTTTTT